CCGCCACTGAGACCAGTCTAGTTCCATCCTCTCTCGTACCACACTACAGGTAGTTGAAGGTTGCTATTAACCACCCCCCACCCCTCATTTTCTATCCACCTTACAGTTCATTCATCTGGCCATACTTCCTTAGCTTGCCTGTGAGAATGCTGTGGGAGACTGTATCAAAAGCCTTGCTAAAATCCGGGTACACCATATCCACTGGTCTCCCCGCACTCACAAAGCTAGTCCCAGAAGGCAATCAGGTTGGTAAGGCATGAGCTGCTAACCTGCCTGAATATCTGTACTTAGCCTTAATTTTCTTGTTCTCTCACTATACAATGGATGTGTATTCTCCTTCACTGAAAATTCTTCTCTGCTATGTTTCAGTCACCATTTTAATTCACAAACCTGATTAATTACTGTTCAATCCTTTTGGGCCTTCTTGATATTCCTGCCTGCATCTGTTAATTTTTCTCCTGTTCTATTCTCCCTATAAAGATTACGCTTCTTTAGTAAACAATGCTTTCATTTCATTTCCCCCCCCCACACACACACCATAACTTTGTTCACAGCATGAGGGAAAGCTTACAAATACACTAACCCAATTTGTGTTCATAATGTTAGCAGTCTCTACTCATATGAGTAAAGTCAGACAAAGATCCTTAACATTATATTAGGTTATTTTTACGTTCTTTTCACATTTCATAAATCAGTGTAGTAATTGTAATACTCTGAAATGTAATTTATTTTCTTCATAATTTTATTTTAAAGAAAGTTCAAGCTGGAACTGAATCAGTGCTCCTGGTTCTGGGTCTCACACAGGATTGCTTTAATGGGCAAAGGGCAAGAGAGACTCTTGGTCTGCACAGAAGTGGGAGGGGAGCAAAAATTTAAAGGAATTAGAGGCCCATCACACAGAAGTTTAAACCTGCAAGCTGAGCTCTGTAACATGCCTTCACCAATACTTGATCCCTGTTACAATTTTTTTGAATGTAATGTTGTCTAAAATTAAATTCCCCCATCAATCTTTTCTCTAGACTAAATAATCCCAGTTCCATCAATCTTTCCTCACAAGTCATGTCCACAGCCCCCTCACCTTTCTTCTTGCCCTCCTCTGGACTGTCTCCAATTTGTTCACATCCTTTCTGTAGTGGGGGCCCAAAACTGAACACAGTACTCCAGATGTAGCCTCACCAGTGCTGAATACAGGGGAAGAATCACTTCCCTTGACCTACTGGCAACACATCTTCCAATGCAACCCAGTATGTCATTAGCCTTCCTGGCAACAAGGGCACACTTATGGCTCATATTCAGCTTATTGTCCACCGTTACCCCCAGGTCCTTTTCTGCAGAGCTTCTGCCCAGCGAGTCAGTCCCCAGCATGTAGTGATGCATGAGATTGTTCAGTCCTAAGTGTAGGACTTTGCATTTGTTCTTGTTGAACCTCATGAGATTTCTTTTGGCCTAATTCTCTGATTTGTCTAAGTCACTGAATCCTAGCCATAACCTCCAATGTATCTACTACTCCCTCCAGCTTGGTGTCCTCTGCAAACTTGCTGAGAGTGCGCTCTATTCCATCTTCTAGGTTGTTGATGAAGACGTTGAACAAAACTGGCCACAGGACCAACCCCTGTGGCACTCTACTTAATCCTGGCTGCCAACTAGACATCAAGCCATTGATTACTACTCTCGTTACTACCACACAGTAGTGGCAATGTCATGGTTAGTGCCCACTGACACTACATTGCTGTAGCGATGAGCAACGTCACCATAGCTTGCCGCTACAGCAGCGTAGTGTCTCATGTAGACGCGACCAGAGAATACATCCACTTGTACTTTTTACTTCAGAGTAGACTAATTATCTCCACAGTAAAGCATTGCCATCTACACATGCACCAGTATCAGGCAGCAATAAATTAATTAACTCTGCCATAAGTGGACAGATTTACTGCACTGAAACTCACATGTGAACGCTAATCATAAGAATAAATTGTGCCCAGTCAACCCAAACAGCCAGGGTCCTACTCAACCCTGGCTCAAACTGCTGCTTTCCCAGGCACACGTATAGACACTGCACCTGGGAGCAGTTTCCTCCAACTTAAATGTCTCTGGAGTTTATTGCCTTGCATTAATTGTTCATGATGATGCACACAGTGTGGAAAAGGGAGGAAGTTACTTATTTCAGTTTAACTGTAAGATACTATCCCACCTGTCTGCTATGACTTTATTTAAAATTAGCCATAAAAAAATACAATACAATATAAAACTATGAAAATGACCTGGTGTTATCAAAGACTTTATCCAAGGTGGCAGAGCATAGACTTTGCAGACCAAACTCTGCAATCAAAGGGGATCTAAACCTGGAACATGCTGGTTTGGGGTGCAGGGAAATAAAGCTGCCTAGTCATTGCCACTGAGAAAGAGCAGGCATTCAAGGAGCTAGATAGAAAAAAACTGTAGCATCACAGCCTGGTCCTCCCAGTCTAAGGAAACCAGTTTGAGTCATTTTTTGCCAGTGCGATAGTTTGTGTAAGGCTTTGCATGGTTTTAGGAAAGATTTAAATCCTCAACTGAATTTTCATTAATTAGGGCACAGTCTACTGTATGGCTGACAGAAACTCACACTTAATTTACTGAAGTTAAAGATATCTGAATATACAACTTCTACTGATATTCTCCCATACTTAAAAAGGGGAATGTAATCAATAGATTTTTTTTCCTTGCTTTCAGTTTAAGAAACCATGAGTCAGTTTAAGAAACTGTACTGAGTTCCCTAACTTCTTCATATTTTTTCTTTATTATTAAAGTAAAAGATAGTTTTTATCCTTCTTATGTATTAAATACAATGGAAGAAACAATTGTAAGACTTTTACTTTGTGGAGCTAGATTATAAAAGCCTTTATCAAAGCAAGTCTTGACAAAAACTAATTCATAAAGGAGGGGACTGGGTTGAGAATTAGGCTTCTATTACCCAGGTATGACAGAGACACTGGTCAGTATTTGCCAGCTGTTGCCCCAAGTGACTATAACCATAGATATAATCCAATTTAAATGACAGGAAGCTGATGAATCTCAGATTCCACTGTGTGTGAACTGCTAGAAATCATCATTTTAACTGAACTGAGTAGATTTAGATCTTAGATAAAACAGTGATGGTTTATTAATACTAAGAAGCAATTGCCAGTAACACTGAGGGTAGATACAGACATTCTAAAAGCCTGAGGTGGAATAAAGTTATGCAGTTATTTTAACTTTATTTAACATAAATAAAGTTATGCAGTTTTCTATAGGCAGAGTAGTTTACATTGGTAGCCAACAGAACACACATTTGTCCT